GGCCCGCTCCATGGCGGGAAACGTCCCGGTGGTGGTGGGCAACCACCAGTTCAGCCGCTGTTTCTCCTGACGCCTGAACAGGGGAAGGACCTTCAGAGTGCCGAGCAGACGCCGCAAGAACCCGTGGCTGACACCATTCATTTGCTCGTCTCCTCGTTCGCCCCGCAGCACAGAACCGCTCGGGCTGCCCTGCCCAGCTCCGCGAGGGCCAATGAGAAAACTCGCAGGCAGGGAATAGGAAGGAGGAAGCGCGACCCGGGAAAGGAAACGAGCGCTTGCCGGAAATTGCGCCCCGCCCCTGAGGGCTGATTCAAACTAGGCGGCGTGACAAAAGACAGGGGAGGAGAGTGAAGGACCCGGAAGATGGCGAAGGTCAAGCTTCTCTTTAGGCGTAGCCCTGAACGCGTGAAGGACCACTGACCGGAAATAGCCTTTCTTCGTCAGCGGTTTGCCGTGTGCTAGCAAAGGAGCCTTGTGGATTTGTTCTTTTCTCTATCCCAGAACTGGATGAGTGTTTGGCGCTTGGGAATTTGGTGTTTTAGTAGAGCAGTGTTTCTCAACCTTGACAATTTTAAGGCATGTGGACTTCAACTCCCAGAATTCCACAGCCAGCAATGCTGGCTGTGGAATTCTGGGAGTTGAAGTCCACATGCCTTAAAATTGTTAAGGTTGAGAAACACTGCAGTAGAGGATAAAACTCTATTAAGTAAGGCCAGGTGCAAAAACAATGGATAGATACAGAAACTCTGCTGTCTCGACTGAAGCTTAGAAGCAACATGCCTACTCTACTGTTATCTACTTAGGCAATAAAATCTAAATCTGTTATGCATGTCAGGAGCTCTAAAGAACTAATATAAAGAGGCAATGGAAATGCTCTTTATTGTTAATGTTAAACAGTGGCAAAACACTTAAGCATATTTTTTTAAACAATTTACTGCAAATTAAAAAATTAGGGGCAAAGAAACTGAAGAGGGACTACTTTTTTAATTGTTTGGTAGAAGTACAAATTATTAACTCTATTTTACTTGGAAAGTTAGTTTACTTTAGATATTACTGCAAATTGATTTAAGTCTAGTAATAGTTTTAAATTAACTTGAGTTCTAGTAACCAGGCTAGAAAACGAGACTGAGTTCTAGTCTCACTTAAGGCATGAAAGCCGCAGCTGGGTGTCTTTGGGCCAGTCTCGGCCCAATCCACCTCACAGAGTTGTTATTGGGAAAATAGGATGGAGTATTATGTATGTTTGCTGCCTTCAGTTATCTATAAAAATGAGGGATAAAAATTAAAAATAACTTTAAAGACCTGTCCATGAAAGTTTTCTTAATGCAGCAATTTTCTGAATCTGTACACATATGTAAATTAGATACACATTTTATACAATGTGCACCTTTCTTTAATCTGCATAAATAATGGTGGACAATTTTTTTTGACCCAAAGGGTACAAAGGGCACTGAATAGTTGTCAGATATGATGGAATAGAGCAACTATGATAAACTAATACTAATTGATCATTTATTCAGTCTGTATTCTGCCAAGAGTCAGATTTATCCGTTATATTTGTTATGCTCAACTTCTACATCTGAAACAAGTTCAGAATGCCAGTCATTGAAGTTCAACTATAGATGACAGCTGTTGTCTTCCTATTCAGCTTCTGAGCTTTCCAGAGTCTCATTGTAAGAAACAATGGACATACCTCTGACCTGTGCCAATAGAGCTCTTACATTCATGTCAAGGCATTTCACACAAAAAATCCTTATGTACTGTATACAAAGATGCCAATGTAATTAGTTGAGATTCAGATCGGATAAATTTAAATTTCAAAAATAAAGATCAGGTAGCTTTCATTCCATCCAGTTGTTTCATTTGTTTCAGTATTTGTATCTAATATTTCTATACTTGGGTCATGAACAGTAAACATTAGGAAATGTATAATAAAACAAAAAGTAAAATACAAATAAAAAACACCTCAACAGCATTTTATGAATATATTCTAGGAAACAAGCCATAGAAAAAATATTTGCAGTGATAAAGTAATTTTATTTGCATATTTAGAGAGCAGAGAAATAGTTAACATTCTTAGAAGACTGATTGATAAAAAAAATTCTCATTTATTCAAGTTATATTTCTATTGGCAATAAAAATATCTATATTTGGTTTAATCAAGTAATAATTTCTATATTGTAATATGTATTTGCACAATATAGCTTAACCATGATTACTCAATCCAATTTGGGGGTTTGCACAATATTGTTGTTACAAATACAAAACATACTATTTTGTGATTTAGTATATTAGATGAACATTGTCAGACTTAAACCAGAAGGTACAAACTGCACACATTAAGAAAAAAGTTAATCAAACCAAAATAGAGATGAAAGGTACCCTGGAGGTCTTCTAGTCCAGCCCCCCCCCTCAATACCATCTCAGAAAAGTGACTGTCCAGTCTCTTCTTAAAAACCTCCAGTGATGGAGCACCCACAATTTCTGGAGGCAAGCTGTTTCACTGGTTAATTGTCCTCACTGTTAGGAACTTTCTCCTTAATTCCAGGTTGCTTCTCTCTTTGATCAGTTTCATACCATTGCTTCTTGTCC